CTCGCGAAGCGAGCCGAATGTCACTCGCGCAGCGAGTGACCGGGGGTCCAGGGGGCGTAGCCCCCGGCTAGGCGTGACGGGCGCGCGAAGCGCGCCCAGAACGGCTAGTTCTATCATAAACTTTGAGTTTTAAACAAATGGACCACTGGACAAGGTACGAATTTCAGTATTCTGATACATGTTTCGTGACTAAAATTTCACGTAAAACACAATGCTCACAACAAAAATTACCGCAATTAACTCCTTATGAAGAAATCTAATGATTCTTGATGCGTGAATTCAAACCACTCGCTCATAAAAACTCAATGTTTTACGTGGTTCACATCGCGCGCTAAACGTTATCATGACAGTCTCTGCGATGTAAAAATCTGGCAACCTCAATCTTGACGCTTTGGCTCCGCTATAGCAAATTGCTAATAGTTTGAACATCACATGGTGGGAAATGAACATTTCTCGATTGAGAAACTTGGATTCGTCTATTTAAACACGCAAAACAATCGAAACAGGCTGCCTCACTTGGAATCGATCTTTTACGAAGGATTTATCCATCGAGGAGAAATAGTGCAAAGCTCCACCACTTAAACGCATGTATAATAATCGAAATATACAAAAACAAGTTGCCTGCTCACCTTTAATCGATTATTTACAGTGGATCTAAATGGAAGGGGGGAGGGAGAGTTGCTACAACCTGAGAGAATCTTCATAAAACAAAACCGGTGGCACCGTCGTGTTTCTGGCAAAAAACATAAGGGTGGTTGAATGGTAAATCCCTCGCTCTACAGGAACTCCATTCAGTCCTGAGAACACAAAAGGGACTTCAAGTCGCGCTCCTAATTCCTAATAATCACCCCGGGGCCGGGACTAAATTACAGGAGAACTTACCCCCGTACCCACCCCCTCCCCCTCCGCATCCATCTATTCGCTTAGTCTGCGAGGCTGCGCTACGGACTGCGGAGGCAGAGACAAATGTATGCTCGGCGTTGCGGATTCGTGAGCTAAAGTTTACGCATATTCACGTTTCAAGGCACTTCGACGCTGTAAGCCGGCAATCACATAACTCGGTTTGTGACGTCGCAGACTTCCTGTCATACTTTACTTTTTAAACGGAAAACCACTCATGAATAAAACTCGGAAAATTACTCAACATTAATTTTACCCGGCCATCCTTCAAACTTATTATCTTCCCTCTGTTCCTACAGTTTCTGTCGAATGTAATGCTGAATCATCGTTTCCTATCTCGCCAAACATAGTGTCACCGCTGGTGCAAAATGCATAT